GACAGTCCTGCTGCAAATGCTCAATGAGTTTCATTTGAATAAGCACCTCTGTATACTGCATGGCTGTGGGTATAAACTGCACTCACCATTAAACTAAGATACTCAAAGGTTTTCCACATATTTAGGCTTCCAAAATCGTGCTAAAACCCATAACCTGAGGATCGCACGCCATCTGACTCAGGCCAGTTCACCTTTACGAAATCAGTTTTGCATGGAAATGGCGCCATCTGGTGGTTTCTGGCAAAACCACCTCCCAGCTGGTCTCGCGGAGAGGATTTTTCCTCCCTTTTCTAGGCTGAAGTAGCCTTTGAACTCGAGTAAGCTGAACTCACTTCTTCCCTTCCCAACGCTGAGGGGTGGAAGAGGACAGAGATGCCTCCAGGATTGCTGAGGATGGGCTGATTAGCTCTTCTCTTCTGTTCTCCTGCTGACATATACGCTGTAACTGTGTCTGTAAAAGAAGAGTCCTTTGTCAACACCAGGTCCTCTTACTATCACTTCTCCACAACCCCCATCCCCGTCCTCGAGTCTCTGCCTGCACACCTGCTTGTCATCACCACTGCGATTCTTACAGGTGCCCAATGGCATGACCCACACTGAATTTATCTCCCAATATAAACCTCCCTATCTGAGCAAATAGCAGCTCCATCATCCAGCTGTGCCCCCAGGACCTTTCTTCTCCCCCACTCTCTAGATGCCACAAAACAGCCCTCCCCACCCCCCAGAAAAAGAACCCCTCCCATACTGCAGCCTGTCTCCACATGTAGGAGCACTCTGCCTCAGCATTTCCACACTTGCCATCTCTGCTAGGTCAAGTGCAGAGTCCTAACAAGTTCATACCCACATGACCTTCCCACCCCCAACAGCCTCCTGCATGAGCTATCTCCTACCCCTCCCTCCTGCCAGTGGGGATTTATTTCCTCTGAAACATCATAATCCTCCCCTCATCTCAGATCCTGCTCACTCTTCACTGCCCAGGGCTGCTCTCCTGGTGCTGCTTAGCTAACTCCTGCTCATGCTCATCTCCCCAGCCTCTGCCGCCCCAGCAGCAAGCTAAGGGAGGCTGGGAGGGAAAGCTCATGGAGGAGCAAGCTCAGGCATTTCTCACCTCTATGAATAGAGGGGCAGGATGGTAAGGACCTGTCCTACCTCTCCTCCTCCCCTGCGATAGCATCTGCCTGGACAAGGCTAATCATCACCACCACCATTGATCAAAATAATCCCTCACCCAGCTTCACAGCTCAGTGGAAATCTTCCAATGGCTCTGGTGTGAGGCTGACTGTATTCAAGTCTTGACTTTGCCATTTAATGACTGAGTGACGTCAGAGAAGCTACTTAACCTCTCCGAATATCCAATTATTCACCTGTAAATGGGAGTGATGATTTTCAAATAATCAAAAATAAATCTGTTTTCTTCTCTGACTAGGGCAATTTCTCATCGTGTCTGATATTTCTCTTTTATAGTTGTTGGGGAAAATGTGACTAATCAACATGTCATTTGTTTAAAACTTTTCTCCCCTAGTAAAATGAAAGTTCCACCAGAGTAGAGACAGGGCAGGTCTTGCTTTTTGCTGATCCCTATGCCTAGCACAGAGCCCATATGTGTAACAGAGTCATTAAGAAAGCAAGCTTGGGAGCCAGGAAATCAGGCTGAGCCCTAATGCTCCCATCACCAAAGTGACTCAGGTCGAGGTGCTAAACCACCTTGGTTTTATTTAGTCTCCTAAGAATGACAATATCTACATCAAAGGCTACTTGGACTAAGTGCTCACATTATACCTGGCACAGAGTAAGCGCTCAATAAACCTTAGCTATAAGTCTAATAGCCAACAAATACTGGAATTTGACTTCCAGTTTTCTGGTCTCGTATGTAATGAGTTTGGAAGTGGTCCCCCCATCCTCACAACATGAAAGAAACTAAACAGTAAACAACTCTTCCAGATCCATCAGGAAATTGAGGTGACAGGGCATATGACTGAGCTGAAAATTGGAAAGACAGGTAGGTGGTTACAGAGAATCACAACTTACCAGAGCAAAAGGTCAGGAACTCTGTGGACCTGGTGCCTGGGTAAGGAAAACTAAATTGTACTAATTGCCAGTAGTTCAATTTGGGCAACCTGAGAATTAACAAGTCCAGGGATACCAGTTTTAGGGGAGACATACTTGCCTCCAGGAGCTTCACCAGGTTCTCATGATGGCTATCAGAGGAAAATCTCCCCCTGATTCCATTTGTATATGTCTTGAGCTTTCTGTCTCCTTAACAGAGGACTGCCCTCAGACCTACCTGGCCTGGGGAAGGAAACACTCCAACTCCAGTCCCCTTCCAGTCTTCTTGTCTCTCCTGAGTTGGGGCGTGAGGAAGGGAAAGAAGCTAAAAAGCACTTGTGAAGGTCACAGGCCAAGGCCATGGGCTAAGAGATGGAGACCTAATCAGAGGATCACAGGACTCTCCCCCACCCCACCAACACACACATCTTATCACACACCATAAGGCTCCTGTACAATTATAGGGCTTATAGCTGGGAGAAAAAAATGGCAAGCCTCAGACTCTGTTCAAGAAGAGTCTCTAAGGAAACCCAAAGAAAACCGGGGAGACAAAAACAAGGACTAAAGGAAATTTTAGCCTCTGAAACCAAGCTACTAGAAAGAGAAAACAGCCTAATTCACAACAAGATAAATATAAAACCTCACACTACAGATGTGTCTACCTCAGTTCCCTTATCTCTTCTATCATGTGTCTGGTCTCCCACAAAAAATGATAAAGACTGGTGAAAGGTAGAGGACAGTCTGGAAAGATAGAGTGAGTGTCTGACCGAGGTTCAGACAGGGCAGAGATGATGAAACTCTCAGACTGGGAATTTAAAACAATGATGATCAATATGCCCAGGACCCTAATGGGGAAAGTGGATAATATACAAGAGCAGAAGGATAATGTAAGCAGAGAGGTGGAAATTCTAAGAAAAAAGTCAAAAGGAAATGCCAGGAATAAAAACCACTATTACAAATAAAGACTGCCTTGGATGGACCCATGAGGCGACAAGCCAGGAAAGAACTATGAGTTTGAAGAAATGTCTACAGAAAGTTCTCAAACCAGAAGGACACAAGAATAAAAATCAAGAGGAACAGAACATTCAAGAAGTGTCGGACAATTACAATAGTTGCAGCATATGCATAAAGGGAAAACCAGAGGATAAAAATGGAAAGAACAGGAAAAGTATTTATTTTTTTAAATCAAATGTTTTTTTTAATTTTATTTAAATATTTTATTTTATATAATTCTTACATCTTTTTTCATCCTTGCACAATGTATGCATTTTCATTTTGGTTATATTCCCCATACAACTGCATGCCCCCCCCCTTATTTTGACTCTAGTTCTTTCTCTCCCCGCCCTTCCCTCCTCCCCCCAGCCCCGTAGTGTGTCTCCGGTTTATAGTTGCTTGTTGATTTTGTTTTTTGTTTTTTTTTTTAAGATTTATTTATTTATTTATACAAGCACTGGGTACAGTCAGAAGCGCGGGAGGGTGAGAAAATTCACCAGAGCCAGAGCATGGAGCAGAGCAGGCAGAAGGACCAAGGTACATTGCTGAAAGGAGCATGTGGGACCCTCCTCCGGTGGCCGGGAGCAGCCGGGGATAGAACCAGTGATGCAGAGGCTGCAGGCAGCTTCGCAACCCAGCGCTCAACCGCTGCGCCACCGGGGAGGCCCCAGTTGCTTGTTGATTTTGATTTTTACTTTGTACTGATTAGTCTTTTTCCTGGTCCCTTATTTAGGTTTTCTAGATTCCTGCTATGAGTGAGACCATCCGGTATTTTTCTTTTTCTTTCTGACTTATTTCGCTAAGCATGATCCCTTCCAGCGCCATCCATGTTGCTGCAAACTGCATGTGTTTATCTTTTTTGATTGCTGAGTAATATTCCATTGTGTATATGGACCACATCTTCTTGATCCAATCATCTACTTTTGGGTATTTGGGTTGTTTCCACAGCTTAGCTATTGTAAACAGTGCTGCTATCAACATAGGGGTGCAGGTGACCTTTGAAATTAATGTTTCTGTGTCCTTTGGGTAAATACCTAGGAGAGGAATTGCTGGATCATATGGAAGCTCTATTTTTAGTAGGTCAAGAAATCTCCACACAGCTCTCCATAGTGGTTGGACCAATTTGCACTCCCACCAGCAGTGCAGGAGAGTTACAAGAAAAACATTTAAAGGAATAATAGCTGAGAATTTTCTAAATCTCAAATCCAGGAAGTCAGAACACCAAATAAGGGAAGTTCCAAAAAGTCTATACCTAGGAAAATCATCTTCAACTCAGAAAATCAATGACAAAGAAAAGAATCTTTAAAACCAGCAGGGAGAAGAAAACCTTACCCCAGAGGATAAAAATTAGATACAACTTCCCTTCAGAAATCATGAAAGCCGGCAGAGAGTGGAGAGAAATATTTAAATGTTGAAAGAAAAAAACTCTAGAATTCCACAACCTTCAAAATTGTCTTTCAAAAGTGAAGAAAAAATACTTTCTCAAACAGAAATCAAAGGAAATTGTTGCCAGTAGACCTGCCTTTCAAGAAATGTTAAAAATTCTTCAGAGTAAAAAGGATTATGTCAGAAATTTGGATCTACATAAAGAAAAAAAAAGAAAGTGCTAGAAAAAAGAATAAATGAAGATAATATAAATACTTGAGTGAAACAAACAAGTCCCCATTCCTTCAGGAGGCTCTCCTGCCCTTGTCTCCCCCCAGCATTCCCTAATATTCTAGGTGAACCCAGTATGACCTGCATTACACTGTGTCATGATAGTCTATTGTCTCCCTGCATGGCTGCAAGTTGTGTGTCCCCAGAAACAAGCCCATGAGGTGCTCAGTGTCGGATAGATGGATGGATGGATGGATGGATGGATGGATGGATGGATGGAGAATGTGGGCAATGTGGATAGGTAGGTGGGTGGGTGGATGGATGGATGGAAGGCAAAGGAATCACATAAGAGGCCTGGTTGGTGGTTAAATAGTATGTCTCTTTATTAGCCGTTCAGTGAGAAGATTCCAGTGCTGCCACTGTTGCAATGAAGGGATCACCTGCTGGATTCTCTCTGCCCAGGTGTGATCCCTCTTCAGGTCAAGGGGGATGGACATTCTTCTGACACAGGCTGCTCCTTGATCTTAAAGGACATCAACCTGGGAAGCAGAGAAATGCCCAAGGGGCATGTCAACATAATGTGGGGTAGCTAAAGAGCAGGATGGAAAAGCACACCTAACTCACTGTATCTGATATTCACAGAGCTGGTGTATAGAGCAGAAGGTAGGGCGGTAGATTATTGGATAGAGCTGGCTTTAAGCCTGTCTCTACTTCTTCAAGCTTCAAAAGCTTTGATTCCTCATTTCTATTAACATTAGGAAAACATGGGTGCATACAACATTTTTGTTGAGAGGTATGCTGGTGCCATTGCCCTAAAGGCTTTGTTCTAAAGTATGAAGAAAGTGAGGCACAGAGGCAGCAGACAACTTGGCGGTGGCAGAGTTGGTCGGGTCCCCAGCCTTGGTTCCTCAGGTCTGTGTTAAACTCCAAAGTCTACATAATGGGGGTGAACAATGCCCTCCTCTGAATGTCCTTTTGGACCAAACAGGCCTTGTGCAGAAGTGGCCATGCAGTAAGTGCTCAATAAATGCCAGTATTACATCTCTGCAGCCCTCTTGTAAACATGTTAGGGGTCACTCCTTCCCCTCACGATGGCCAGCACAGGCCTTTTGTATTAGCAGGTGCAGGCACCATTCCCTAAGTGGAAGTCTCCTGATGTTGCCTTTCCAGCTCCTGAGTCACAGGACAGCCACTGTTAGGACCACTGGTACCACTGCAGACCAAGAGGTCCTATGGCCCAATGTCACAGCCCCAACTGGTGACAGGACCACAACCTGTGTGCCCTTGCTCCTGACTTCAGTGTCTGTGATCTTGGGGTTCAGCATGGGGTCAGTGGACCAGCAGTGGCAACACCTGGGAGCACTGGAGATAAAGACTGCAGCCCCTCCAGTCACCCCCCACACACACACCCACAGCCTACAAATGCAGGCGGTCAAGAAGGTGTCAAAGTCAGAGAGGCCAGGGCCTCCCTGGTGCCTCAGGGGTTAAAGACAGTGCTATCAAGCTATTGCCATGTGGCAGGAGTTCGATCCCCCGCAGGCTGGGGAGCAGCCCACATGGCGCGGCAGAATTCCTGCCTCACTTGCTGCTCCCCTCAGCAGTGTATTTCAGTGAATCTGCCTGTTCTGCTCCCCACTCTCTATGGTGGATCCTCTCACCCCCTCCCTGCACCTCAGGCTCATGCTTCTTATATGCATAAATAAATAAATCTTTAAAAAAAAAATGTCAGAGAGGCCAATCTAAACTTGACTTTCAGTCCTCCCAGAAACTGAAGAAAGGTACTACTGGAGCCTAAGACAGCTGCCCCTCCCAGTCCCACTAGCCCCAAGCACAGACCCCTCACCAACAGGGAAAGGTTAAACCTAGTCAGCAAGCCCCCACTAAATACACCATCATCTCAGCCCAGGGCGGCCACCTCCTATGCCCAGCTCCTCACCTGTAGGTAGCCTTCAGCAATCAGAGAAGTAATTTCTGTCTTGAAGCTGCTGAAAGGATTCATCCGAAAGATGGCACAGGCTATGGGTGTGGAAGAGAGAGTGGAGACAGGGCAGATGGTAGGATAGCAGCTCCTAGCCAGGGTGCCCTGGCACAGAGCTGACAAGGTCTACGATGCTGCTTGGGCACAGAGGCCTACTAAGGGCCACTCAGCCTAGACAGTCTCCAGACCCAAACAGGAACACAGGCTTGGGCTGGGGCTAAAGCAGACCCACAGAAGGGAGCCAGCAGCCACCCCAGACCCCTGCCCCCAGTTAGGAATAAGTCAGCACGCTCGCAGCAGCTTACCTTCGTCTCACCTGCTCTATCCGATCTCGCATAGCTTCTTCTCTCACCTCGCTTGGCACTTGGAAGATACGGGTATGGCTGCAAAACACCATTCAAACATGGGGGTTCCTCTAAGGAGATAAATGGGTTCATGCACCTCCCTGAACAAGGCAGAGGTGAGTCACACAAGCGAGAGCTAGGTTGGTGTCCGAAGATAGTGAAAAGAATGAAGGTATTCAGGAGGAAGGAGAGGTCACCCCAGCTCAAGGTAGAAAAGAAGGGTCCCAGGGAGGAAGGGGGCAGACCTTGGACCCTGAAGGCCAGATGGACATGCCTGGTTGCCAAAGTTCTCGTCAGCATGAAAGGTCCCACCCTGGCCCATTGAACCAGTCCCTTCCCAGCTCATGGGTCAGCCCACTTTCAATGTCCTTTTAGAAACCTTTCAACACCTAGACGTGTGCAATCTGCTCTCCCCCCCACCCCTCCCCCCCCACACACACACACACGATGGTCTCAGAGTTGCCACAGTGCTTCTCTCACCTTTCGTTTTTTTTTAAAATTCATTTATTTATGCATAAAAGAACTGGGGTGCAGACCAGAGGTGCAGGAGGGTGAGAGGATTCACCAGAGACAGAGCGGGGAGCAGAACAGGCAGACTGATGGAGTACACTGCTGAAGGGAGCAGCGGGCAAGACAGGAGAGGTCTGCTGCACCATGTTGGTAGCTCCCCAGCCAGGAATCAAACTCATGCTGCAGTGGCTGCGGATAGCTTCATTGTGCTGAGACTTTAACGCCTCCACCACCAAGGAGGATCTTCTCTCACCCTTTCTTTAATATCCTCACTTTTTATCCAACTAGTTAACTTTGATCCTTTTGAAACTGAGGGCTTTTATTCTTTTTCTCTGTTCCAGAGGGCCAAGTAAACTCTAAGTGATCAGCATATATCTACTAAATAAATGAGTGAACACTAATGCTTAATAAATGGTGTGTTTTCCCTGACCACATACTCACTGAAATTCAGAGGAAGCTACCAAAATCAGTGGATTATGGGGAAAACCAGACAGTATATTGGCTTAAAATCTCCACAGAAAATTCAAGATAACTCTTCTACTGAACTGACACTTCTCTCAATGACTTTTTTTTTTTAAGATTTATTTATTTATTCAAGAACTGGGATACAGGCCAGAAGCACGGGAGGGTGAGAGGATTCACCAGAGACAGAGTGGGAAGCAGAACAGGCAGACTGATCGAAGACACTGCTAAGGGGAGCAGCGGGTACAACAGGAGAGGTCTGCCGCACCATGTGGGTATCTCCCTGGCTGGCCGGGAATCAAACTGGCACTGCAAAGGCTGCGGACAGCTTCACAGCACTGTGCTCAACCCACTGCGCCACCGGGGAGGGCCTCTCAGGGACTTTTTACTCCAGCATTTGCAATATTGTTCTGTCTCTTCATTTTTAGTTTGTATAGGTTGTATAGGGATAAACTTTCAAAAGTCTGCCTTTGCACCTGTTCAGGTGACCAAAGAACTGGTATTGACAAGGGGCAATAGGTAAAAAGGAACTGGGCAGGAGGGTACCAACGGGCCACCTCCAGTGAGTCACGGATTCAAGCTTCCTTCTGTGCTGTGGGTACCAGAGTTGTGTGGTGGGGACTCCCATCCCCTAGGCCAACTCATTGGCCTAAATGTCTCATATAGTCTCTTGCCAACCTCAACCCTAGGCTATATTGAGCACTAGATGCAGCTGGGCATGGATTATAGTTGAGACTGAGCCACAAACAGAGGGCTGTTCTTTTTACTTTCCTAGTATAGAGCCTTGGTGGCGGGGGTAGGGGGGAGGGAAAGCTTGTCCTACTGTTAAGATCCAGGTGCTTAACCTCTGGTTAGTGAAAACATCCAGCTGTTTCGGTTTTAGTGGGAAGGGAGCAAGTGTTTAGGATATCACAGCCTCAGGCTGCAAATAATATCCTCTTCTACAAGAGACGTAGGGGATCTGGCCTAGCATTCCCTGCTGGCTGGGGCTCCAATTGATCTATACTGGGAGCTTTAGGATCAATCCAGTAATCATCACTCTGTACCCCTACTCCAGTAGTTCTCCAATAGTGCACCCCCTATCTTGGATGCCATCTCCATGCACTCCCTTATTCAGCGCAGTGCCAGTTTTCCAAAGTCCCCAATGTGGGTTAAGAATTGGAGGGGGGTGCAGAGGGCAGTATCCCTCCCTCTCATGAGCTGTACTGCCCCAACACCACTGCAAACACCACAGTTCAATTCGAGTTTTTCCTACCCCCTTCCTCTGGACCACTGCTCTTGAGGCATCCTTCGGTCATCTGTTTATCTTTCAGGAGCCAAGGACTTTGTGCTCTTGCATTTTAGCTGAGTACACGGAGGAGGTGGACTTCACTCTGCCACCACCTTGCCAGGCTCGCCTCCCTTCACAGTTTGTGGAAGACCAGCTTAATCACACAGTTCTTCTACTGGGAAAAAACACCCCAACAGAACGCAAGTCTCAAAGAGGAAATAGAGAAGACTGTGGTGAAGGAAAGAAATTGTTTTCTGCGCTGGCTGCCTCACTCCCTCTCCCTTGAGCCCCAGCACTTGAGGGATGGCCTGTTTACGCGGAGGCAATGGAGGCTAAGTCTCCATGACATGCAGCGCAGCATTCTAGTCTCAGGCTCTGAGAAGCTGCCACTCCTCTCAGTTGCCGATGAGGACTTTGACTTTTGCATTTTAAGAGCTCGTTTTCTTTTAGCTCTGTAAAGTGCAACTACCTCTGAACAAATCAAGTGCAAGAATAGCAGAAATCTGTTTTGTTTTGTTGTGTTTTGTATTGTTATTATTTTTTTCCTCCCATGTCTTATTTGGTTCCCCTCTATTCCTCCAATAAGTGAAACCATCCAATATTTTTCTTTTTCCTTCTGACTTATTTCACTGAGCATAATTCCTTCCAGCAAATGAACAATGATGTAAAATATACATAAATTAAAAAAAGAATTTTAAAATATTGTAACAGCATATTACAAAAATGTACAACTTAAAATTATTAAAATGTGTTCAGGGAAAAGAAAAAAAAGAGTAACAAAAGTCGGATATTTATTCAGCAGCATTTTAAAAGTGGTAAGCAAGCTCAGTTTTCCAAGCTCTGAAATCATTTTAAAATTTAGGAATGATCTGGGCTTTTGAGAGAGCAAAAATTTTCCCTTAAGATTCCAGACTCCCTGTGGGGGCCTCCCTGGTGACACAGGGATTAAAGACACAGCACTATGAGGCTATCGCCAGCCAGTGCGACATGAGTTCCATCCCAGGCAGGGAGCTCACCCACATGGCACAGCAGATCTCTCCTGTCTCGCCTGCTGCTCCCCTCAGCAGTGTATTTCAGTAGATCTGCCTGTTCTGCTCTCCACTCTGTCTCTGGTGAATCCTCTTACCCCCCACACCTCTGCCTACACCCAGTTCTTGTATGCATAAATAAAAAATCTTTAAAACAAAAAGATTCCAAAGTGAGACTGAAATTTTTTCTTAGCCAAAGGAATGGTCATCTCTAGAGAAGAGATTTTGAGGGTTTGCATTGGTCAGGAATTCTGAAGAGGGGGTGTGGGCCTTCTTTGCATCCCCCTCCCCACAACTTGGTTTAGGGCAAATAGGAAGCTTTACCTCCATCTTATGAACTGGATTCTTGTTCTCTCCTCCAGAACCTCTTGACTCTGGCTTGCCAACAAATCAGACTTTGAGAGATGATGCTTCACCTAGGAAATCCAGGTAGGGTCCACATGGATAAAGGACTCCATGGTGGGTGGAGAACCCAACCCAGATAAGCTCATCCATTTAAGATCGTTTTCAGGACCCCCCTCCCTTCTTCCCCTCTCCCTCACTTTCCCTGGGAAGACTGTACAAACTCAAAATTACCACATCTCTGGTCACGTGAACGTCTTGGCCATGAGTAGCGGGGAGGTTGGAGGACATCTTCTCCTTGATGTCCTGGGAAGCTTCCTCTTCAGTCTGAAAAGAGAGTCATTTCCCTTTGACAGCATCACTCTGTGGCTGAGCCCCCGTCCTTCCTTCCTCTTCTCTTTCCCCTTTTCTTCCTCTCCATCACAACTCACTTGCTGCCTGTCTAACACTCTATGACTCTTAGTTCCAGCAATAAACTCACCTAATGCTACCTTCCTGGGGGAGTCCAGGGAACTCACTAAGTCTGTGGCCCTATCCTAAGGCATTCTTGAGACACCTTGGAAGCAAGGGTGATATATCTAAAACCCTTCATCCAGTCTACTTGAGAAGCAGAACAGAGCTAGTGGAACTCAGGTGAATTGGATGCATTTCTGGACAGGGTGTTTGTCAATGAATTTAAGTTTCTCACTTCTAAAGAGAGGGGATACCAATACCCTGTAGCTCTTGGGACCAGTTCTCTGGAATTTGAACTACCCTAAGTCATAGAGAAATTGTACTCACTTTTTTCAACCAGTGCTGGACTACAGACAGAGCCTCACTTTCCACAACTTCAATGTCCTGCAATGAATTGGTAAATTATTAACCTCAGAGTACCTGGGACTCAGCCTCCCCCATTCTTATCCAGTTATATACTGTAAAATCTTCTCTCTGGAAGTGCAGCAGGGAGCTTAGTAGGGAAAAGCTACATGAGAAACAATTCCACGTGGCCCCCACCAACTCCACTTACCGAACTGGTTTTTGGTGGGAAGGGGAACCCTGCACCTTTCCGGGTGAGAATGTACACAATCCATGTTGTAATTATCATCTTTGGACTTATGCCAGGCCTCCTTCTTGGCTCCCTCCTTCCATTGAAGCTGCCTGAGAAAGCCTCTGGAATAAGGAGGTCATTGAAGGGATGGACCCAGTTGATTGGCTGGCCAGTGATGATGTGACAATGACCTCCCTTACTCTCCAGGCTCCTCCCTTCACCATAGGCTTCCCTATGCCAAGAGCTCAGAAATGGAGAGATGGGGGGAAGGGAGGTAAGGATAAGATATAGCCAACCGGCCAATGTGAGCCTGAGGAAGACATAGGGGGGAAGTTACCCCATCACAGATAGAGAATCTCCAGGGGCTGGGAGGGGCTTGTGGCTGGTGGCCCAGTCTTGAGCCATGATGAAGCAGAAAGGGATTTTATAAACTGAAAGGATAATTTGTGACAAAATGTCCTGGGCCTTCCAAATAGTCAATCAAACAATGCCATTAGCATTTTCTATTCTCACATTTGCGAAGAAAAGAACTTGTTCATCCACAAAACATGAAAGATGGAGGAACAAAATTCTCCACAAGGATATTTTCCTTAATTTTTGTTTACAAAAATTGTTGTGATTATAATTACAACAAAAAATGAGGGATGCAGGGTAAAAAGTAGAAGTACCATTTCATATAAAAGATATTTCCTGGTTTCCTCAAGTCACCCGTGGTTGATGACCTGGGAGAAGGACAGTAAAGTGAAAAGGAATGGGGGATTGTGTCGTGATTTCAGAGTTGGGGATAAAAATTGATAGGTGTTTGGAGATATGTAAAGGCTTCACCAGGAATTGAAGTTCTGAATACCCTAAAGGATCCTAAGCAAATGTTCAGCTGCTCTTAAAGCAGTTCAACCCTGAGTCTATTCTCAAGGACTCAGAAACAAGAATTAAACCCTGTCTCTACCACAACCTTGTTACGTGTTCTTGACCCAGTCATTAGTCTCTCTGATTCTAATTTCTTTGTCTTCAAAGTGAAAAGAATAATGTCCCTAATTTTCTTCTAACTCTAATATTCTATAAATGAACCAAATGATGAATGAAGTCATCATCCATCACAAAAAATGATGAATCAGACTTTTAATGAAATCCAAATTATCTATTTTTACTTTTGTTGCTTCTACTTTTGGTCTTATATCTGAGAAACCACTGCGTAGCTCATTGTCATGAAGACTTATCCCTACATTTCTTGTAAGAGTCTAATAGTTGTAGCTTTTACATTGATGTCTTGGATCCATACCTAGCTCATTTTTTTACATAGCATGAGAAGTCAGTGTCTAACATCATTGTTTTGCATGTGGAATCTAGTTATCCCAGTTCTATTTGTTGAAAAGAATTTCTTTGTCCACTGAATTATCTTGGGACCCTTGGCAAAAATCAATTACTAATAAATGCAAAGTTTATATCTAGACTGCCAATTTCTTTCCACTGATATCTGTATCTGTCTTTATGCCAATACCACACTGTCTCCATCACTGTGGTTTTGTATGTTTTGACAGTGGGAAATGAGAGTCTCCAGATTTTCCTTTGAAGAGAGTTTTTGCATTTCCCTATGAATTTTAGAATCAACTTCTCAATTTCTACAAAAATGTAAAAGGAAAATTGGACTACTGACACTTTGATAAGGATTGCTTTAAATCTGTTGATCATTAGAGAGTGTTATTATCTTCACATTAAGTCTTCCTATCCATGAAGATGAAATGTTTTTCCAGTTATTTACATCTTCTTTCAGTTCTTTGAACAGTTTTGTAGTTTTCAATGTTTAAGTCTTGAATTTCATTTGTTAAGTTTATTCAACAGTATTTTATTTTTTGATACTATTATAAATGGAATTCTTTTCTTAATATCATTTTTATTTGTCATTTTTAGTGTGTAAATATATACTGAATTTTTAATATTAATCTTGTGCCTTGCAACCTTATTGAACTCATTTATTGTAATAATTTTAGAGGTTTCCTTAGAATTTTCTACAAATAGAAATAACTTACCTTTATTACAAATAGAAATAACTTACCTTTATTCTTTCTAATCTGGATGTCTTTCATTTCATTTCTAGCCTAATTATCTTGGTTACACATTGTTAAACAGAAATAGAGAAAGCAGATACATTTTCTTGCTTCTTGTCTTAGGAGAAAAACATTTTCTTTCACCATTTAATGTGGTTGTTTAGATGAAGATTTTTTTTGTGGATATCTTTTACAGGTTGAGGAAATTTCTTTATTATTCTTACTTTTTGAGTCTCACCAAAAAGAATTAGATTTTCTCAAATGCTTTTCTGATTTGAGACAATTACATGGTTATTGTCTTCCACTCTATTAACATTTTGTATTGTATTAGATTTTGGTTTTCAGAGTTAAACCAATCTTGCATTTTGAGGATAATTTTTCTTGTCCATAGAATATAATCTCTTTTTTTTATTTTTTAGCATTTTTTTATTTTATTTATTTTTTACATCATTTTTCATTTTTGCACAATGTATGCATTTTCATCTTGGTTATAGTCCCCATACAATTCCCACCCCCCCTTGTTTTGATCCTACTCCCTCTTCTACCCTGTAGTATGTCTCTGGTTTATAGTTGCTTGTTGATTTTGATTTTCACTTTATTACAATTAGTCTTTTTCCTGGTCCCTTATTTAGGTTTTCTAAATTCCTGCTATGAGTGAGACCATCTGGTAGTTTTCTTTTTCTTTCTGGCTTATTTTGCTGAGCATGAGCCCTTCCAGTTCCATCCATGTTGCTGCAAATGATATGAGTGTATCTTTTTTGATTGCTGAGTAATATTCCATTGTGTATATGGACCACATCTTCTTGATCCAGTCATCTACTTTTGGGTATTTGGGTTGTTTCCACAGCTTAGCTATTGTAAACAGTGCTGTTATAAACATAGGGATGCAAGTGCCCTGTTGAATTAATGTTTCTGTGTCCTTTGGGTAAATACCTAGGAGTGGAATTGCTGGATCATATGGAAGCTCTATTTTTAGTAGGTCAAGAAATCTCCACACAACTTTCCATAGTGGTTGGACCAGTTTGCACTCCCACCAGCAGTACAAGAGAGTTCCTTTTTCTCCACATACTCACCAACATGTGTTGTTGCAAGTTTTTTTAATATGTGCCATTCTCACTGGTGTAAGATGATATCTCATTGTAATTTTGATTTGCGTTTCCCTGATTACAAGTGATGTTGAACATTTTTTCATATGCCTGTTGGCCATTTGCATTTCCTCTTTGGAGAAGTTTCTTTTTAGCTCTTCTGCCCATTTTTTGACTGAATTATTTCATAGTGTATCATTTTTTCTATATATTGCTGGATTCAGTTTGCTAGTATTTTGTTGAGGATTTTGCATCTGTATCTGTAAGAGATATTGGTGTGTAGTTTCCTTTTCTTATTATATGTTCTCTTTTATTCTGTTTGTTTTTTAAAGATTGCAAAGGATGGGTACATTCTGTTACAGGGCAACCCCAAAGTGAAATACAAAATGTGAGGATTGTGGGTCCTCACCCATGCACTTAAGGGGGACTTATAATGAGACTCAACTGCAGACACACACAAAAAGGTTAATAAAGGAGGGCCTCCCAGGTGGCACAGCGGTTGAGCGCTGGGTTGCAAAGCTGCCCACAGCCTCTGCAGCACAGCGCCGGTTTGATCCCGGGCTGCTCCGGTCACTGGAGGAGGGTCCCACATGGCTTGAAGATCTCTCCTGCCGCCCGCTGCTCCCCTCAGCAGTGTACTTCAGTCCTTCTGCCCTGCTCTGCTCCCCGCTCTGGCATCTGGTGAATTCTCTCGCCCTCCCACGCTTCTGACTGTACCCAGTGCTTGCATAAATAAATAAATATATCTTTAAAAAAAAGTTAATAAAGGGTTTATTTACAAAAAGGGAAAATGAAGAAAGGGATAAGTCAGGGAGAAAGAAAGAGATTAATTAGTGAATGCATCCTACCAGTTCCACTGAGCTGGAACCCCAACAGCACACTGAAAGCCAGTGAAAAACCTAAGATCCCCAGACCCACTTGTCTGGTTTTACACCAACCCTGGCTGCTGAACTCCACCTTCAGTCCCCAGCAATCCTCCCTTCAGTGGCGATGACATTATAGGATTTGTAGTCCTTCGTGTCTTGGATCTGTTTGGTCTGGGGTAGGGGTGGGGCCCATGAAACATATTTGTGGAGTTTGTTCAGGACATCCTTTTCCTGGACAATTCTTGAAATATTTGGTATGTAGTCAACATATATTAAAATGTCAAACTTTTGAAAAATTATGTCATTGCTTACATTCCCACTAATAATGTATAGAAGGTTCAGGTTTCTCTATATGGTCACCACACTAGTGTTTTTTATTATAGGCATGTAAAAGGTTTCATATAAATTTTAGAATGTCAGTGTTAATATTCACACTGATATTCATACCATAATTTCAGGTTTTCAGGTCTAGTCTCCCGACCAGAAATGGCCGGGCTGTGGTGGCAGTGCTGTCCTGGCCACTAGACCACCACGGGTTGGTGTCTCATGAAACAGCAGTAGAACTTCGGTGACATCAAACAAGCAAGCAAAAAGAGGCAACTTTGTTGTTTTACTTTTAAGATTTATTTCATTTTATACAAGTGGGTATAGGCCAGAGGCACAGGAGGGTGAGAGCATTCACCAGAGACAGAATGGGGAGCAGAACAGACAGATGGACTGAAAGCACTGCTAAGGGGAGCAGCAGGCAAGTCAGGAGAGGTCTGCTGTGCCATGTGGGTATCTCCCTGGCTGGTCGGGTATTGAACCCGCACTGCACAGGCTGCGGACAGCTTTATAGTACGTGCTCTACCTGCTGTGCCACCGGGGAGGCCCAAGGCAATTTTGTTTAGAGAAATAGGTATAACTCCCAGGTAGTGCAAGGGGTTAAGACACAACCTATGAAACTATCTGCAACCACTGCAGCATGAGATCGATCCCCAGCCAGGGAGCTACCCACATGGCGCAGCAGACCTCTCCTGACTTGCCCTGCTGCTCCGCTCAGTAGTGTATTTCAGTCAATCTGCCTGTTCTGTTCCCCACTCTGTCTTGGTGAATCCTCTCACCTCTGGCACCTCTGGCCTGTGCCCCAGTTCTTGTATGTATAAATAAATAAATCTTAAAAAAAGAAAAA